TAGTTCTTTCTATTGACACACCTGTAGAGTATGTAGAGCCTCACCCAGCTGCTTTCTTGCAGTTTCATAATTACGCTGTTGGGCAGCAGCTTTAACAGCTTTGACACCTTCTGTGATGAGGTCCCGGCCCTTCAAAAAAGTCTCGCCATCAAAGTGATGTCTTGCACTTGTCAAGTGTTTTCCATCAACCCAGGCATTTTTACTGCAAACTTTACTAATGGCTTGTTGGAAACCTTTGGCTGATTCAGGAGACGAGCAAGCTTTTGTCAGAGACTCAACTGTCAATACGCTTGGCTGAAACAGAAAGACATGCAAACACTGACTTAAAGTACTTTCCTTTTGATAATTTTCATTCGTGAAAATGAATGGATAGACACATTTAATGCATCTAGTTGGTCCTTCTTTTTTCAATCATTTGCACATTCACTATTGTCCATGCCACTAGAAAAATGGACCTGCGCATGTGGACAGTGTTTGCAGAAATCAAAAGACTGTGACTTTGGGCTTTAGTATGACATGAACTTGCAAGTGCGAGAAAGTTTGTAAAAGAAAATTCTGTTCAGTCATTTCTAACACAGCTACCTTTGCAGTTTACAATGTTTTAAAAATGTTGTCATAATGTGTATTTCTGATGTAGTAATTTATTTATGCCCTCAAACTAAAAAACAAACAAACAAACAAAAATCAGTTTTGGAAGTTAATGAATCAATTTCACAACAAAATAATGACTAATTCGCCCACCTGCACAAAATGTCTTGCTTGTTGAAGTGCCTGAGCCCTACAGACTTCTGCTGTTGTTTGTAAAATCGCTTTTTGCGTTATTTCTTGGTGGGTAATGGAACTAGTTAGGAGAACCTTAAAAGCCAGAATCCTTTCTTTGTTGTGCAGAATGACAAAGAGGATGATAATTGTACAGAGTGAACTTTGAGTCATTATGGCTTAATCTGAAAAAAAAAAAGATATGCATAATCACAAACTTAAAGACAAATAAGATAAATATTATGAAATGGCTATTATACTTCAATCCTTGATAACAACCTGAAGAGGATTCTCTGCTGTTTATTCCCGCCATGCACAATTATACTGTAAATCGTTCTACCCTACTTATGAAGGACCATTTATATATCAGTCTAGAAGGTGGTCCTTAAACGATGGAATGTGCTTCAAACCGGTTTTATTTATCTGTCAGTTTAGCTGTACTACTTTTATCTGAGCAGTCTGGTTAGATTACTTTCAGAAGAAAGATTTGCACAAAAACGTATGAATAGCAATCAGTTGCATTCAAAGATACATGCATTCACAAATACTTTCACTTTGAATCGCACAAAAAACTCATTGTTTTGTTAAGTTGGTTGAAAAGCACGACCAGCTCCTGCCTGACCTGAAAATTACATCTATTTTGACATATGTTATGTTCTGAAACATTTTGTAATATCTCTATAACTTTTTGGAGTTAAGTATAGAAATGTATTAGGCTATTGAAAACATTCATTGTTGTAGACCATTTCCGCATTTTGGGAAAATTAATTAATTAGGGGGAGAGTGGGGATGGTTGGAACACTTTTTGCATTTTCTTCAGTTTCTCAGAGACAGTTTGTGTTGGAAAGACAACATTTTAATACAATAAAGCCACATTTGTCAGCTACTCACCCACACTGCTATAACAAGTGCACATATGATAATATATGTACAATTTACACTTGAATAGACAAAGTCAAATGTTGCAACTGACCAGGGGCATGTCTAGAACATTTTAAACTGGGGGCCAGGCTGGGGCACTATAAAAGAGGGTGGCCGCAAAATGACCAAAATGAGCAAATGTTATCTTAGGGAGCCATTTCTACCTCATCTAACCCTTTTTTTTTTCATTGTAACCTAATGTATTATTTAGGTTAATATTTTTGGGTTGAATAAAATCAAATAAATTAGATGTTACCACGTGAGAAATTGTACAAATTCAATGAATAAAAACACTTAAAGGCACTTAAAGGCTTTACCCAAATGAAAACACTTTCATCATCCTCTTGACAGAACATGCTGGTTTTGTCTCGTATCTAAAGGCTACAACACACACCTGTGTTTGTTCCGTGCTAATCCAAACCTCTCATTATAACATACAGAGCGTATACACAATGTAAATAATAGATTGATCCCGCAGTGTATAGATTCATTGGTCATAACAGAACTTTGTGAGATCGCGATGAACAAATAGTGGCAGCTTTTTAAAGGGTGCGCTCTTTGTGAGCTTTCTAGGCTATAATCCATTCAAAATGTATAACTTTTGTTTTTCTGCCACACACACTTTGCAAAGTTTCGGGAATTCACTCTCGAAATAGCAGTGACATAGTGATAACTATAGCAATGGATGGGACAATATTAAACCGAGCCTGGTTGATACGCTTTTATTGTAGAACTATATACAAAAACAACAAAATACACATGCACTAAATAAAATAAAATAATTTAATAAATGCATATTTACAATAGCCACTTAACTCAAATAAGTACCTTATTAAGTAACAAAATAAATAACTATATTATCTTGCTTCCATTTAGTTGGATAAGCCTACTCTTCACCTGAATTTAAAAAAAAAGCTCTTATCTTGTCTTCAATGATGCAAGGACAAAGTTTGAGCGTGCACACGCAATATCTGAGCGAGAGCAGACAATTCATAAGAGAACACTGTATTAAGTTAAACTGGCTGTATAAAAACAAAGAATAGTAAATGGGAAAAAAACATTTTCGAGTAACAAGTAGGCTAACAACCATGTTTTGGTTATTATTACAGTAGCCTACATTTGAACTACAAAATATTAATTTAATCAAAATCAAGAGACTGAAATTTAATTATATCTTTCTGTTAACTTCTGTCAAAGTTTACTGAACTAGGGCCAGTTTCATAACCACTATGTTAAGAGTGTCTTAAGAACTAGTTTGACTAACTAGCAGTTGACCTATTTACTTGAGTAAAAAGGAGAGATACCTGACTATTGAAAGGGTCAGGGTCAATTCTTTATTAATCTATGAAATTACACATGCTATCTATGCCAATGAGAAGTTAAGAAAACACTTATTAAAATGATTTTAAGCACTAAAGTGCTTCACGCAAACAGCTTAGACAGTATGACAAAAAAATCTGATCATAAAAAAATAATTTTTTAAATATGAAAATTTGTTTTTGTAAAAGGAATGGTCACATGTTTTCTTTCAGGAAGGATGAGGGGCTAATTGAGCATGTACAGTATGAATATCATATCTGTAGCTCATTCCTGATTGAAGAAATAAGCCATGTTGCCCCTTGTTACAACGTCCCCACTATAGTCATAAATTTGACTAAATTTTAAAAACTTTAATGGGATAAGTGTTAAGCTATATAAATACATACATGATCAAGTAATAAATGTGTAGTTCACCCCCAAAAATGAAAATTCTAACATCATTTCCTCACCATGTCATTCATACCCTGATAGCACACGTACATCATGGAGACGTCTTTTTGACGTCTGCATTTACATCTGCAAGACGTATTTTTTAGAGTGTTTGCTCATCTGCAATAGTCTATATTGTCTGCAATAGTCTATAATAATCTAGACGTTTCTTATCAGATGTCAAATAGACGAGATGTTTCAGACGTTTATGATTTAGAATGAATGTAAACTGACATCTTAAAGACGTCTATCAGATGTTTGTACTCTGCAGATGCTTTCCAGATAAAGCTATCTTTAACAGACATCTCGCAGATGTACGTGTGCTATCTGGGTATAGCTTACTTCTGTAGAACACAAAAGAAGATATATGAAAGTCAATGGGATCCCAAAAAAAAACAAACATTGGACCCCTTGTCTTTTACTGTATGGACAAAAACGCTGAGACCATAGACTGTATAAAAACATGGACGTAGTGTCCGTGATGTCACCCGTAGATTTTCCGAAGAGCGTTTTTGAAGCTCAAAAGTAGGCGGAGCCGGCCGTCGCCATCTTGGCAGCGCGTCACCGCGCATCACTCCCG